CACACAACCTACTAAGGAAACCCAGATCTGACGTTGCTAGGCTTGTTGCGACTCTTACTGGGCATTGGCCGATTGGTACCCACGCGAGAAGGCTGGGAATCGCCTACAACGACTTCTGTAGAAGCTGCAGAGATGAGAACGAGCATTGTTGCTCTAATGAGGAGCAGAAATGCCATGCTAGGAGCATATGAGTTGACATCGTTACGAGAGCTATCTGATGTAAGTCTCCACAACATACTCAACTTCATCAACCACGCCGGCTGGTTCTAACATACTCATTCGAGGTATATGGTATCAAAATGGCACTTAGCTGCTACTTGGGCGAAATAGTTTTCCGTCACCATTCTAACCTAACCTAGCAGTAGACGGAATTTCGCAACGTTCCGAATAAATAAAAAAAAAGATTTTCCGTACGTTTCAAAGGCAGTTAAAAAATGTGTATAATTCTCGTCACGAAATTGATATCATAAATTTTGTGTTTCTAGTTCAGCTTTCGTCACTCGAAAATTTTACCTCGAAGAGGTGTTTTATTTGATATCAATTATTTTGGGGTAGCAAATTTAAAATCGACCAAAATACAAACAATAGTCTAAATGTTTTATTTTTCTCAAATAAATTGCTAAAAATGTTATCTAAATCTAAATTATGTATTCAAATCGATGTGTCCATTTAAACATATAATTTTTCGAATACGGAATCATATCCTTTGTATTCGAAAAAATTAAAAAAAATTATGAGAAATGATAAAAACGCATCAACATCGGGAAATGGGTAAATTTTTTCGGGGAACTGGGTATGTTATTTTTATATCTTAAAGCAACCAAATTAGACGAATATGTTAATTTTTAACCATTTGACCCTTTTTGGAGCGACATTTTTTCAATTTGAATCGTAATATCTCCACAACAAGAGTTTTAATAGATACAAGCTATATACAAGATGAAAGCTACGGTTTTGGGCTACACAACTGGACTGACCAGTTTTTGTGAAAAGGCCCGAAATCTCTATTTTCAGCAGCCCGATTTTTAGTTTTCAGGCGATAACGTTATGACATATTTATCGATATATATAAAATAATAGCCATTTTCGTTGTTCGGAGTTAGCTCAAAAACTACTGCATAGATTTCAGTCAAATTTTCAGAGGTTATACCTTGCATATATGGTCCTATTATAGGATACCTGAAAACTCGCTAGATGCTGCTGGGGTCGAGTTATTTATAAAAGTCGTATTTATAAACCGATTTCGTTCAAATTCAAAACGTGTGCTACCTCCATGATGGGAAATACGTACGCGAAAAATACATCCGCTAGGTGGCGCTGGAGTCAAGTTATTTATAAAAATCATATTTATAAACCAATTTCTTTTAACTTCAAAATATAAGCTACCAGCATGATAAAAAATACGTTTACCAAAAATAGACCCGCTAGGTGGCGCAGGAGTCGAGTTATTTATAAAAGTCGTATTTATGAACCGATTTCGTTCAAATTCAAAGTATAAGCTACCTGTATGATGAAAAAAACATTTGCGAAAAACGGACCCGATAATAGCCCTATTTATGAACCGATTTCGTTCAAATTCAAAGTATAAGCTACCTGTATGATGAAAAAAACATTTGCGAAAAACGGACCCGATAATAGCCCTATTTATGAACCGATTTTGGTAATGCAAATTCGAAACGTTTATTACTTTCACGATTTTTTTTTTCATTGGAAACATATATGTACATATATACATAAAACGATAGCCGTTTCCGTTGTTCGGACTTAACTCAAAAACCAGTCAAATTGTCGGAGGTTATACCTTGCATATATGGTCCTATTATAGCCTACTAGACAACACGCTGGTGGCGCTGGAGTAGAGATACTTATAAAAGTCGTATTTATTAACCGATTTCGATCAAATTCGCAAAGTGAGCTACCTGTATGATGAAAAATGCGTTTCCTAAAAATGAGACCACTATATTTTATAAAATCTGATTGAAATTCAGTATGCGTATTCATTTCGTGACAAGCAGTGGTTTTGCAGAACAGGGACCTAATGGATTGCGCTGCTGCCGAATTATATAGAAACCCACAAGGGGTTTGGTTTGCTTTAGGCCTATATTCATCTTAGACGAATTTATTTTCATATGGCTAATTGGAGGATTCGTTGAAATATGCATGTAAAGACCGCAACATTGTGTAAGCGCGCCTTTGCCTGATGCCCTCATACACCCTAAATGCGATCTTGCACCTACCTCCGTTTGACGAAAATTATCGGATCAATGATGAAGTTGCAAGATCATAGAAGAATATTACGCACGCTTGGCACAGATCTCATAGGTGGAAATAAGACCATCGGTAAAACTCATGACATCGAAAGGGATAAGTATTCCATATGGTATCACAGCGCTACTATTCTTGGCCTATGTGTGAAGAGGATTCTGCTCTTTAGTCGTTTCAATTTAAACTAAAGATGTTTACTTTAAAGACCGCTTTTGCTTTTAAACGCTATTTTTGTATTAGCGAATGAAAAGGATCTGATTAGGCGCCGCGAAGCAAGCGGGCATTGGCTAGTATTTTATAAACGCAAAAGACAGCGTTAGATAGCTTGTTTTAAGACCCTTCTACTGATATCCACTTCAATGGTATGGTAAGAGTAGTGCGACCTCAGTGGTAGTTTAAAAAATTGCCTTTTTTCGAATTTCAGGCACCAGCCCCACCCACAAAGGCCTACGAATCGAAACATACTGGAACAAAACCCTCCTCGTTTTTTTTGGTACTTTAATTCTTGAAAGTTTGGAAAAAAATAAATGAAGGTACGTACAGACGCTACACACATCGCAAGCATCTCGTAGTGGAGACACGAACCAAAACACATTTACCTCTATGTCTTTCCAACTAGTAGCCGGAACTTAATAGCAGTCATCGATTCGCCACTTCTCGCTCGCTATGTTTGAGTTCCGGTCGCTTAAAGAAGAATTTCGCATGCGAAAGCAACAACAAAGTTAGCTAGCACGGATAGACGATAGCGAGTTTGGTTGTACCTCATTGAGTTCATTCGTTTCGCCACTCGCTAACTGATGGCGAATCGATGGCGGCTAATATATAAGGTAACGTTTGAAAGGTATTGGCCTATAGANCCGATTTATGGTCTACATAATCGACCAAGTGAGCAAACAATTAATGCGATTGTGACCAAGTTTCGCACTCAGTTTACTTTATTGGACATTAAACCAACCACACGAATGCGTACAGTGCGTACAGAAGAGAATATTGCGTCTGTTTCTGAGAGTGTTGCTGAAGACCGTGAAATGTCGATTCGTCGCCGTTCGCAGCAATTGGGTTTGCGAAACACATTTCGAACCGAACACTGATTTTTAGGAATCCGGTTAATCGTTTATGAATCTTGAATACATTTTCTGGAAACACTCTACATGTCGATTCGACGTCTGAATAAAAACTTCCAAATCTCGTGTATATATAAGCGAGTCATTTCAGCATGCTACTGTGGCTGCTCCTTTGGTCACTCGCACGCTGTGATACCAGATGCCGGAGTTGAGCTCTCAAAAAAGTGTCAAACAGTTTTCGGGGAAAAATCTACTCCCTGGTAGTTAATTATTGGAGGATTTCTTTTTCGGGAGAAACAAATTCTTCGAGAACAAACTCCCCGGGAGTATTAAGAATTGGGCTGCTTAACCGATCTGGGCGGGGTTGTTGTAACCGCTACAACTACAACAACAACAACTTGTTAGAGGACCCACGCACGTCAGGGGCCGCGGTCCCGACGAGCGACCAACGACATTCATAGGGAGACGGTCACCGCCTACTCAATTAACACCGTTCTACCTTTGGTCCGACCCTATTGACACAGCCCGGGCCTACCGTTAGTTGACCTTGACGACAATACAATGATTGAAGGATAAACCGAAATAGGCGGGGCTTCGTAGTGCCACTACAACAACAACCGCCCCACGGACGACCGCACGCACCCCCAAGGCCTGCAAACGGCGAACTATCAGGGCCGCACCACTAACCTCGTCCTGGGCAAAACCATCCGCGCGCTGAAAGAGCTGCAGAAGATCCTGAGCAGCGCATTCCTGCAGGGCGGAGAGGATGTTTAAACCGCCGCTCAAACGCAGTACGACGGCCGTGCATGCAATCCTTGACAGCAGCAGTTTGGTAGTTGACTCCGAAAAAATTAGTACCAAGCGCGCACGGCCGCCTACCATCCTCGCGGCAATCAACGATCGTTTAGTTCTGATACTAACATCGGTTAACGCGCACGCGTCCAACTTGCTAAATAGTATTCTTTCTAACTTGCGAAGTGAAATTCATGTTACATAAACTTTGTATATATCTTTCCATATACAAACATGTACACCCCTTTTATGAATGACTGATTTGTGTTAAAAGCGAACAAAAACCACAGACATTCAAATTAATACATCTGTCGGGCTTATGAAAAGAATCTGCTTTATCCTGAGTTTCACCCGAAAAAAAATTTGTCCGAAAATTTGACATCCGCCCATAGTAAATACATGGAAACCAAAAGTGAAAAGTGAACCGGTTCGGGAAAATGACACTCATGATAAGGCTGAATACTAATTTCATACGATACGCCTGCAAGCGTTTATCGACTATCGTATGAAAATTCATAATAGGGAGGATAAGCATTTAATTTTGGGAGATACGGTGAATTGAAAACGGAATAAATAAACTAAATTAAACCTGCTGTACAATCGAAAACAAGTATTTCCTTTGATCTGAAAAAGTGTGTGCGTACAAAATGGTTAGTGCGAAAGGCAACCATCGAACTATTCACCTTTCATTATTGAATCATGGTGCCTCCCATAGTGAAATTATACCACGGGTAAGAGCGAGAAGAAAGTACGTTATTTCAAAAATTGCCTTTAAAAAATTCTATAAGATAGCCGAATGTCAAGAAAATAAATAAAAAAAGCTGTTTTAATACTTCACTTGTTTATAATTTCACCATGGTGGGTGCCCCTTTATGTTTAGACTCCGCACAAACACAGAGTTTTACACACTCCCAGGAAGTTTTTGAAGAAATTTAATTTTTATATTTTATTACATTTTTTTGTTATAAACATGGAAAAGTATTTATTTATGGTGACATAAGCACAAAAATTAACAATATAAAACACCAGCATATAAATGTATACTTGGAATTATAGACATGCGAAAACAAGTAGGTACGAAAATTATTTTCTATTCCAATTTAAAACTGCTTGCGAGCAAATTGGCGTTCTTTACGTTTAAGAGCTTCATGCGCCGACTCCCTAGGAATATTTTTCCGAAATATAGTCGAATTTTTGAAATTCAGAGCATTCTGTGTTGCAGTAGTGGCACCTGCTCCACAGGTTTGCATTGAGCTTGCTCCCCTCAATTTATTTTTTTCTTTGTTATTAAGAGATGGCAAAAGTTCTTCCAGAAATACACCTGATTGCGACCACTGAGGTTTAGGTAATACGTGTTGAGGATCATCGATCTTTTGTTTACGTTTACGAAGATAGGAATTTTGTATTTCTGGTGCTTTATCCTGACCAGCAGTTAATATACGACGTACTTTAAAACCGAGAGTGCGTGGCGTAATGGGACTCTCACGGAATCCGTTATTATTTGTATTTTTCTTCGGCGTAACTGGTTCCTCCAATACTGTACCAGTGGGAAGTTCAAATTTGTTAAATATGGTTCGTTTCTTCGGAGGGCTAAGTGCTTCTTCTACGATTTCGCCTGTAGCGCAATTCATGCGATGAACAAATTCGGAACGTGTTTCTTTATAACCTATATTGTGTAACGTAACAGCATGTTAAGCATATCCATAAATATGTAAATATAAGTAACAAATTGATTTATAAACCATATTTGACTTACTCATTTTTATTTCAGATGACGACTCAGTATTCGAAAGCGATTCCAACACTTCCATGGGAAGACGCTTCTCAGTACTTTCGGCATCATTTGTCTAGAGTAAAAAAAAAAATATTACTCTTGAGGCGGATTCGTCGTTTTAGTTGGGAATTTTCTTCCGAGAGGTTGTTGTTGCGTTTCGTTGAGAAAGACAACAACAACATCACATGGAAGAAAAGTTCAGAACCGCCTTTAGCATTTGTATGATTATTTGGTGCTACAAAAAAATGGTGGCATGTACTTTTTATGTCATGTAGTAGAGGTAGTACAACAAGTCTAAAAATAATTTTGGCATTAGCAGAATCACAAATACACCCCTAAAATCTTAAATTATGATCAAATAAATGAAAATCGGGAGGTATGAACTAGAGCTGCATGAATGTATTTCTTTGCACTGAAGGCCCGGTATGAAAATTTTGTTTATTGCGATCTTATGCACGCGGCCATACTTCACTCGCTCCTAATCCGATTGTCGGGAACGACAGTCGTTTGTGGAAATTTGAGATTTCTAAGGGCGTTTTTAGGCAACCAATGACATAATCAACTACAAATTTGTATTCCTATTATCCTTTCGAAATGAAGAAGTATTGAAACGGGTTAAAATCTGTTGTTAATGTTTTTATTTACGGCATAATTCAACGAACGACTGCCGATGCGAACGACTTACGACAACTATAATTGGGGTGACTGTGTCAGTGTCACTTTAAGGCGGATTTATCGTTCTAGTTCTGAACTAAAGTTGAAGTTGAGTTCAGTTGCTCTCCCAGAGAGGAAAACCACGTGGAAGAAAATTTCCGAACTATAACGATGAATCCGCCTTTATTTTGATGTTCATTGTAATGTTACTTCACCATACAATAGTATACAGGAAAAGTATATAAATTCAAGCAACTTTTTTGTAAGAACTTTATAATTACATTTAATTTTTGTACTAATGTGATTCACATTACTTCTGGTTTCATAAATGTAAGTCTGATTTAGATTACACATACCTGGAGTTTTTCCTTTTTATTTTTATAAGCTTCATTCATTAAAATCTTAGCTGATGCCTTAAATGCCTGCTTTAAGGCCAATGTAGTTTTTTCTGTAATTAATGTCAAATTATTTATAGGCACAAAGCTTGTTAATAAAACAAACCTTTTGAATGTTTCACATCTTCAGCAAGACACCCGTTATTTTCCAATATATCCAGATGATTTGAACTCTTCTTAAACTTTGGAGAGATTATCTTGCTCTAGAATAAAAATCAGTGAAACATTGTTAGAACTTTACTAAAAATTCGAATGAATAATTATTTCTTTCGCAATACCTTTTTATAGTTTTGCTTCGTTTCTAATTTAGCACGATTGGCCGCTTCTAATATTTCGTCACAACGATCAAAAATGTGTCCTAAATCCTTCTTTTCTCCTTTAATTAGCTGACGAGGAGTGGCACTATTATACGCATCAGTTTTATTTTTCGGTTCGTTACTAGACTCGTCCGAAGCGCTGCTTTCCGTGAAGGCACAGGACTTTTCCGGTATAGATCCACTAAATGATTTAGACAAGCGAGTTTGGGATGCGGCCATTTTTGTAAGCAATTCGCGCTTGCGATCTTCAATATTGTCAATCAATGACTGAGATGGGTTGAATTCTTCCTTTGATATAGGTTGCAAACTTTTACGCTTCCGTTTCTTACTATTTTTGACCTCTCCACCATGTGCTTCTAGAGCGGCCATTGATTTTCGCTTTCTATTCAGAACTGTAAATGGTTTATCTGAGCTCGCGAGCTTACCCAGTTCCTCCTCCTCGTCTTTATTTAATTGAATATCATTGGGTTTAGCGTTCTGTTCTGTATCAGATTCGCTTATATTTTTACCGTCATTCGAGCGCTTTTTGTACGATTCTTTTTCAAATTCTGAGGAATCGGAGCCATCTATTTCATTTTCGTTTCCCTTTTTAATAACACCAACACCGATTGAAAATGAACTATGATGGACATATTTGTCTCCTTTAATACTGCATCTCTTCTGCTTCGCCTGACAAAAAGACACACTTAGTCTAGCAACTTTCGGCTTTTTAGATTCACTCAATATATATCCAGTATCTTCAGCGGAATCCTCATCAGCAGATTCTTCACTATTTGTTTGGTTTGAATGATTATTTTCAGAAACCTGTGGAACCTCTTGTGTCTCTGGTATTTCAATGTCTTCATCTTCAAAATTCTCATTTTCAGGGTGCTCATTTTTAGATTTTGGTTCATTGTTGGTCTCGCCACTTTTTTGTTTTTCCATAAAGAGGTTTAAATCGGATTCATTTTGGGAACCATTTATATTCGCGGCATTTGTCGTGTCATTATTTTCCTCCGATAGTTTTACTGGAATTTCAGATTGTCCAGTGGCACTTAAGGATTTACGAATTTTATGTTTGGTTGGGGCTTTTTCATATTCAACAGATATTTGTCTGTCAACGGAATGGTTCGACAAGTTAATCTTTAAATTCTCATTTGCATTCAGATCAAGGATAGATTCATCTTTGTTTTGTTGTACAATGAATTCATATTTCTCTCCCGGTTTTTCATACTCCATATCTTTGCTATCTAGTACAGTTTGGCCAGCTTCATTTCTTGAATTAGTTTTAGTTATTTCATTACTAGTATCTATTGTTGTTGATGTAATTCTGCGATTCATTCCATCAATGTTCGATTCATTTAATTTGCTCAATGCTTTGTCGCTTGACGACTTATCAGAATCTCCTTCCCTTCCTTCTGCTTCAATCAATTCAGAAGCATCGTCCCTTGTAAACTCATGCCTATTACTCTCTCTTTTATCACCTGAGTGATCATTATATCCAGCATCTATTTTTTTATCAATCAAATCTTTTGTAACTTTTTCAGCTTCATCTAATTTATTTGGTGGCTTAAGCGAATTTTCATTCGTAGTTGTTTCTTCATTAGAGGAGTCATCAATCATCCTACTAACTTCAAAGTTAAGAGGCTTGCTTGTTTTATTGGAATCGTTGTTTATCAGTTCGTTCATTTGGTTTGATTTTGAATCTGACACCTCATCATTTTCACTTTCACTCGTCTCTAAGATGCGTTTTTTTTTGTTCGATGTAATTATTTTCTTAGTCTTCTTAGCTTTCTTTTCCGCGTAAGACTGTTCATCGCTTTCGCTTTCACTGGTTATCAAAATTTGTCTGTTACCCTTTGATCTACCAGACTTTATAGTTGGATCTTCAATTCGATCAGCTTCATCTGAATAATCAAGTAGCGATTCCCCTGAATCCGAAGTTATAAATGAATCATTTTCTTCGTCATCCTCTTCCTCCCCATCCTCATCACTATCCTCACTGCCAATGTATTCACCCCTATCTATAACTTCATTTTCTTCTATTTCTTTTTGTTCTTCTTCCCCCATAGAATCCCCGCTTTGGTAGTCATCAGGTGCTTCCATGGCCTCATCATCGACAAATTCTAATTTTTGAAAAGATGTTCCTTCCTCCTCACTCTCCTCGTTATTTGTATTTTTACCATCGGTATCGCTTAGGTACGGAGTTTCCTTATATAGTAATTTCCAATTTTCAGAAGTTACTTCTTGGTCACCTTTTTTCCCTGAACTGTTTTCAGTGATGATGTCGATTTTTCCAGCATATGTTGCACATCCACTTACATTATGGGTCCAGGATTTAGAAAACAAATTTGCTTTCTCATCTGCGCCATCATTGTTATCGCCTGTTGCCACTCCATTCTTTGACTGGTGGATTAAAGAAGTAATAGCATCATTCCGATTAGCGGATGACTGAAGACTTTTTTCCGGGTCGGCGTTATTCTCGCCACTATTAATCGGGGCCGGCGATGATTTCTTTGGGGGCTTTTCTGGTGAAAATTTTGTACTTTTAATATTTTCTTCAGACACCTTCAAATTTTCTTCTGGTTCAGGTTTTGATTTTGATACAGAAACTAGCATAGGAGTTGAGCTCAGCAATTGCGTATATAGTTGTTTTTTATGTGGTGTACATTCTTGAAAAACTTCTACCCCTTTTTCAAATCGGTCTTCTTCAGGGTCATTTGTTGCATCATGAAACTCAATAGATTCTTTTGAATGATTTTCCTGTATTTCATATTCGTGTGGTTCATTACCTTCATCAATATATGCACTAGCATCTTTAAAACTGGCTGAAGATCCTTTATCACTTTGAAAAGACCTATCCTCCGAATCTTTCGGCGAATTCATGGCTGGGTAGCTTTTAGACTTGATTGATGCTGGTGTTTTCGGATAAGTACTCTTTATTACATCATCTTCATTGTCCAGATCATTGAAGGCTACGAATTTCGAGTTTGGCGGAGACTTTGGAACAGAACCTTCACCACAAAGTTTTTCAATTACCTTAGGCGATAATTTTTGTAATTCTACAACACTTTCTACCAATGGATAGGCTTGACTTTGTGAACTTGGCGGAGAGCTTGGAACAGAACTTTCATCACCAAGTTTTTCAATTAACCTAGGCGATAATTTTTGTAGTACTACAATACTTTCCACACAGGGATAGGCTTGACTTTGTGAATTTGTAGTTGTCTTTGGTGATGCACTCTTTTCAGGCGTTTTAGTAGTTTCAACCCCCTTTTCATTATCGTCATCAGATAATTCGAGGCGAAGCGTGCACTCGTTTTTGTTATCGCTTTCTTTCAACGCTGATGTTTCAGATAGGGATGATTTCAATGTTTCCACAGGAGTCTCGTTACTTATATCAGATATATTCGATTCTATTTTTACTGAATCTCGATTTTTACTGCTTTCTACTTTTTCTTCAACTTCATCTTGTAATTTTAAATCCTCCTTTTTATCTTCTTGATCATTTAATATAACAGTTTCTTCCGATAAATCTATTGTTTCAACAGATTTCGATTTGCTTTCGGTTGAAGCATTCTTCCCGTTCAACCCATGCGGTTTTCGTGAAGGGCTTTTAGAAGGTTCATCCTCTTTTTTTAAATTAAAATATGTGTTATTTGAAGTTTCTTCTAGATTGATAACTTCAACCTCAGAATCGCTGTCGCTTATTTGTTTGCTACGTCTGGATTTTGGCCCAGGTTTAATCCTTTTAGCAGGACCGGTACGAGGTGTTTTTTCTAGTTCTAATTGTGTTGGAGACTTTGATGACAATCTTGTCGAACGCCTTGCTGGTGTACCTTTCACCCCGGCATTGAAGCCTTCATCAGATAACTCATCAATCTTTGATGTAGCGACATCTAATAGAACAGATTTATTAGGCGTATGTGAGTCTGTTTCGAAAACTCCGCTCTTGCGTACTGGCCGCTTGGCAAGAGAATTTTCAATATCACTAAGTTCAGAAGTTATGTAATTTTTAGTCCTCGCTGGTGTTTTCGAAGGTGTGATGTTCCCAGTTATGGAATTACGACGACTGCCTCGTAAAGATCGAGGGGAGCCTGGAAATTATGGTATTAGTTGATACACATATTTGTTAGTAATTCGTATTACTCACTTAGCTCTGGTATAGTAGTAAGCTTAGTTAACTGCGGGGTAGAAGGTCTGCTCCCAGCATCATTGCTATCAACCGATGCTAACCGCTTACGTAAAGACCTAGTCACTGTATATTTAAAAGACCAACATGCGTTAATAAATTTTGGGATTGGGGTCCGAAAAGTATGTTAGTTTGAGGCTGATACAAAAAAAAATAAATAGGGCGTGGCCTTGCTGACCTTCCTAGTTTGAAAGATTAAAAACCAAATAATTAAATGGAATGCTTTCAAACTACGGGGCTTCTCAGGCTAACCTCTTCGAAATGGGAAAAAATCGAAGGCCGCCTACGCAGAAATAACTTCCGCGCAAAAATACTATTGTTCCCCTATTTTGAAGAGGTAGTAGTAGTAGTCAGTGGAGAAAGACAAGTATACCACCGAATTCTTTGATCTGCGATCTTTCAAGCTGGAAAGGTGGGAGGTCCCTCGCCCCGTTCATGTTTTGTACCAACCTAGTTACTGTTCCCATATTTTGGAAAAAAAGGCAATATGATACTGTCAAAAGGGAAAAACTATCCCTGTGTACAGAAATACATCGATCCAAAGCATCAAGCCTTTTATTTCAAATTATAATTGATGGTAAGGTACAATTGCACAACGAGTTTTCATAAAGCGTCGTCCATCCTCTTTCGTTTAAGGTGGGTTTGGGGGGCCACGACCCGGTAGTAGTGCACTTTAGCGGAACCTGGTCAAAATGGACGGAAAAAAGTAGAGTAGTATCAATTGACGCATCTTGACGCTAATAATAATGACCACAGACCGGAAATTAACATTTTTAATTCATTAAAGAGTTATTCGCAAACAACACTTGCACTTTTGGCTTTGCACTTTTTTTGTATATACAAGAAAGGGAATTGTAGTTACCTCCTTTCCCAAGGCTACATCACTGGGCGGTAGCCCCAGTTGGTGCACACCAAAAGGAGAATTCTAAAAGGATTTCTACGCAAAAATACTCTGGACGCAAGTGAAAATTGTGATTTCCATTTTTCTAAGGGGTCCCTAGGGAACCATCGGCAATAACTCTTAAATTAATCAAAAATCTTATTTTCCGGTCTGCGATTGATATTATTCGCGTTAAAACGCGTAGTTGTAGTTACCTCCTTTCCCAAGGCTACATCACTGGGCGGTAGCCCCAGTTGGTGCACACCAAAAGGAGAATTCTAAAAGGATTTCTACGCAAAAATACTCTGGACGCAAGTGAAAATTGTGATTTCCATTTTTCTAAGGGGTCCCTAGGGAACCATCGGCAATAACTCTTAAATTAATCAAAAATCTTATTTTCCGGTCTGCGATTGATATTATTCGCGTTAAAACGCGTCGATTGATACCCCTCTTGATTTTGTTTTGGTAAAATTTGGCCTGGTTCCGCTGAAGTGCACTTTTACCCCACGACCCCTCCCAACCCCGTCATCACTAAATCGTTGTACAAATAAGCGAACATTTCCCGCAACAATCGCCTTGTACGAACGGCCTTTCAACTAATAACTTCCAATGAAGTTGGGGTGCAGCCAACTTTTGATTCAACTAATCGCCTCTAAAATTGCCTGGAAATTCGCCTCATGCGAACTTCGTATTAGACTGATGCTTTCGATTGACGCATTTCTGAACACAGGCTATGTCCCGTTGCACCCAAACGGTATGCACGCGTACATACGTTTGAATATATGTAGAGGCAATCAGCCTGCGAGACGCGACCATGATTCAATGATGATGCGCCTTGGACGCGACTCTATTTAGTCTACTTACCGCGACCACTAGTGGATGCATCGTCTAAGTTCTCCATTACTTATCCTCATGTGTTTTCATATAATAAATAGTGTATAATTAAAGACAGCTCCAAAATTTTTATAAATTGTTCCAAACAATCACACATGTGCGCCCATCGGATCGATCGAAGAATTTTATGCTTCTTCTTTTCAATTTGGCTTTAAAACGGTTTTTAAACGACACAACGTTGAAGAAGGGTTCAACAGCCCAACGTTGGTACTTTGCTATGATAGGCGCCTGCAACACGTTCAATATATATTGTGATATTTAGATCGTGATCCATATTGACGACTTTCAACATACTGATGAATTATGAACTATGGGAATAAAGCAACAGAGAAAAAGAAATTATTAGATATTGAGCCAATTTACACGACGACTTTTCACCCTGCGTTTTTTGCACGTTCCCTTTTAAAAAAGTCTTCAAAAATCCTCGTGTATTTACACGATGACTTTTTCTTTGCGGCGTTTCTTGCGTTTTTTTGACATTTCAGCGTCAAATTTTCTTTGGTTAACTTTTTCGTCCTCATTTTTAAAGCGGAGGGAACGCGAACTCAAAGCAGAAATACGAAAAAGTGAACTCGATAAAACCGAAACGTTAAAAAAAAACCCTCGATTTCGCTCACCGTGCGTGCTTGCCTACCCACCACCCAGGGTGAAAAGTCATTGTGTAAATTGGCTCATTATCTAGTAAAAACTTTTGGTGCTTTTTTTTGTGTGTTTGGAGCAACAGCTATTTTCGCCATTAATAAACCTTATGTAATGCAGCGTTTTTGCTGCATTTAAAATGCAACATTTAGCATTTTCGAACATATGTTTTCGAAGAGCGTTCATGCTATAGCATTTAGCAAATGTACATTTACGCGAGTTCGAAATCGTATGCTTTTGACAAACAGCCGTGTTCCAGTCTCTTATTTAGATGCGTATATATTACGATCAATTCTCACGCAGAAGATAATGTGCAAAAACCCTACTGAAAAGGAAAAAATAAATTTTAAACCAAAAATTCAATACAAAAACTTGAATTGTTTTAACCATAAACGAACATTTGTTTGTGTATATATTTATTTGTCGGTGCATTCAATTAAAATTTCCTCACTTAATTAGGAAACAAACCAAACAGAGTTGATCACAAATTGATCCAGATTTCTATCAGTATCAAATCGATGTTGAATTTGCTTAACTTTTCTTTATCCAAATATGTAATGCAAAATAAAAGAAATCTCGATCGGCGATCACTGAAACGCAGCTAGCAACTGTATACTCGAAAAAGCAATGTTGCCACTTTATCTCTTTAATCCATGTTCGAATCGTGGAAATTTTGGAAGATCACAGGGTTGCTTTTAGCATTTAGA